TATATATATATATATATATAAGAATTCTGTGTATTGTATCTAATTCAAGAGCTGTGAATCTATTTATTTGAGCTGGTTTAATTTAATTTATATTTCTCTTACACTTTGCTTTATTTGCCTCTTATTAGTTTATGTTGTCAATCTAGCTAATTTTGTTCACAAACAATTTTGTTAAAATCTGAATATAATGTTTCATTGTGGAGGGGGGGATGCAGTTCCTTTTGTAGAAGAGTACATACGAGAAGTAACCACTAGAAATGAACAACGCCTTATAAGAATCAACGAGCTATGCGACCGAGATAGTTGGTACACACGGAGGATGTGAAGTGAAAATTGAGGCTAGAGAATATAGTTGTTGAATTTGGCAGATGACGGAATTGCCATGTATTCAAGGAAAATATATATGGATGATTATTTTTTTATGTTACGAGCATATTAACATATATTTATTTACTCATCTGACAATTATTCTTCAATTATTGCTAATGTTTTTTTTTTGTATTTTTTGCATATGTCAAAGGTGTCATATCAATTATGTCAAGGAAGGAAGCCGAAGACATTGAGGTCAAAGGGTCGACCAAGAAAAAACAGATTTAAAAGAATTTTGGAGGCCCGACTAAAATTATTAGCAAAAGTTCTTAAGTGCAGTAGATGTGGGTTTGGTGGTCATCTTGGAGATACGAAAAATTATTCCATACGGTGACAGTACGCAGAGTTGCGTACGGTCACCCAATAAAAAACAATCTCTCCCTTAAAAGTTGTATGAAAGTGGAGCCCACTTTAAAATTTTAAAATTTTTAAGAATGATGTTTATCACACGGCGTAAAATGATTGGGGGGTATATGTACAGATTCCGTACCGAATAAGCGCTCCAGAGATACGCGCAAACAACCTCTGAATTCCAATATTGGATGTGAGGTACAAGATATTGAGAGCTAGTTAAACTTTTCAATTGATCGGTTAAATTTGAAGAGAATTTTCATCTTTTTTTTTTAATAGATATAGTGCAATATAAAGTCATTTTTTGTAATAAATATGGTATTATAGTAATTTTTTTTCTTTTTTGTTCCAAAGTTTTGAGTTTACATATTAATTGACGAATTAATTATGAATTCTGTAAATGGTTATCTCTGTAACTTCACATGAACCATTTTAGTAGGAGTTCAGAATTCTGAGTTGATTTTGACCTTGCAGGATGAGTTTTACCTAATTGGTTATCTCAGTAAAAGATTAACTTGTATGTAAATATATCTTTCAGGAGAATTGGAAGCCATCCTTTGCACAGCAAAAATCATTACCAGAACTATTTTTCTCACTTCCTAGTCTTATGACAGATTTGCAATTTTATGTAATTTTCCCCCATGCAAGTCATTTATCTACGGGATGCAAGTACGGAGCTTGGAATCAATCACATTGCATGACTCACGTGCTCTCTTAAAAGGGTCTAATTATTAGGTGCGGAGGGAGCGCGTAGAGCTGCGCGCGCCCTCCGATCACAGCCGCACATCGCGGCTGTATGACAGCACTGTCATACAGCCGCGATGTGCGGCTGGGATCGGAGGGAAAAGGGTAGTAGCATCTTTGAACGCACTAATTTACATACATACCACTAATTTCTTATGTATTTACATATCTAACACCTAAACTCCAATTTTTACATTTTTGAAACCTTACAAATACATCAAAAGGTGTATTTCACATTTAAAGAACTTAAATAGTGGTAATCTCTATGCGATATGAAAGATTTGGGTGTTATAAATGTAATAAATAAAATTTAAGTGCTAATATGTACAATAACTGGTGTCATGCATCTAAATACTCCTAAAATCAAGCGTTCCAATTATAGGAACAGGACTTTGCTCAATCTCTGTTGAACTTTTTGTAATATTGATTGAATTAGTTATTGTGGTTTTGTTGTATTTATGGCAGGGACCAATTTGGCTTGCCATTTTGCAGAACAACAAATTCAGAATCATTTTAACCTGCTGTTAGCTTTTGGATTACATGTTAAAAACCCCAAATATGTTTTAAGTAGGCAAAATGATTATTTTCAGTTTATAATACAAGTGAATTACTTACAATTGATGTACAGCAAGAAATGTAAGTTTCTAATTGTGTTTTAGGGAGAAAGTTGGCTACAATAATATCAATTTCTCAAACTTATGATACAGGTGCATTACATGCAATTGATGTTGAGCAAGGCATGTAAGTTTTTAATTGCATTATGGAGAGAAATTTGACTGCAATAATATCAAGCTCCCAAGCCTCACAGGAGATGTAGGGTTTCACTGTATCAAGGTGATGCTCGAAGGCTGATTCTCGAATAAACTTTCGTAGCATGCTATATTTACGCAGTCTTATATATCATTTCATCCAATATCAAATTGTTAGTAATATATAAAAATTAAATTTAAACTTAACATCATCAAGTGCCATGTAAATAAAATTGAAGTTTACTTCCATCTCCTCGAAACCCCTCATATATAAAAGGGATCTTCGTTGATGTTAGGAATTCGGCTTCCATTTTTGCTTAAACTTGTTTTATACGTTCATGCCTAGCACTTCTATGCATGACATCTTTATTAAGCTTTGGATCAAGTTTAGAGTAAAACTACTACGAACATGCTTCACATGCTTGGCTTTTTATAAATCATAAGACGCCAAAGATAATAAGCACAAAAAGAAACTGAATCAAAAAAAAAAAAATAGTATACTTGAACGAGTTCACAAAGTTATAATTTTCATAAGCAAAAAATATTCATTTATGGAACAAATAACATTGACAAAATGTTTATAAAATATTCATTTCTAATACAAACATTCTGAGTAATCAATATAACTAGAACAAGCACATACTTAGGATTGCATCACTGCATACATAATTTTACGAAGGTTCATGCTTCAAAATGCTTGGACAATAACTTCACAGCCCATTAACTTCAACAATAACAGCTTTGTCCCCAAAATAATAGCAAAATAATAGCATAATTAGTATGACCACAACATTGATCAAACTTAATATCTTGATAAGAAATTTTAGATCTTCAAAGTTATTCTTTATTGTGCAGTTGATTGCTGAACTTTCTGTATTACTGAAATCAAATTTAGTATCCGTCGCTTCATCTATCCATTTGAAATACTTACAATCGTTCCTCGATTGATTCCTTATATTTCGATTAAATTTTCTTTCATAACTTTTATCTTTGCAGAACTAATAAACTGCTCACAACAAGTTACGGTTACAGTAAACTCTTTGATTATTGATTCATTGTAAAGTTGACAAGTGTATTGAACTCGTACTTGTTATATCATGTTATAAACGAGAAAGGAATAGAGCATAAATGATATGTATAATAGCATAGATATACATATGTAAAAAGTCTTGAAACAAATATTCATGCATAATAATAACAGTAGAGAATTGACATTGACATTCATGCCACCTAAACCACAAATTTTCCCATAAATGCCACCTTCCCATACATGCCACATTCTTATACATGCCATATTTCCCATGCATTAAAAACTTATTTTAGTGCATATCATTTTGAAATTAATATTGACAAAACTAATATACATAACATATAACGGTCTAATCACAAGTTTATAAGATACACAGCTTTTTAAGTTCTCAATAAAGATAAACAAAGTACTTCGAGGCAATAAAACTTCATTAGGACTAACATTTTTGTGGCTATCAAGCTTCATTCATAAGATGACAAGGTTGAAGCCCTTGATTGAAATTTGCTTCCACAACGAAAATAGCTAGCAACAGTATTACCAATGACTACCAGGAATCAAGGAAGATTTTGCCTTATTGGTAACATAATATGAAAAAAAGGGATTGTATATTGTTGTATTTCACTCTATTCAAGATAAAACATCAAAATTTTCATATATACACGCACACATGCACGGATGGTTGCTTTGAGAAAATTTCATCAACTTGTAATCACACAAAATTAATGTTAAGCAAAAAAAGTTGTTTTGCTTATGATACTACCTAATTCCTAATATATGATATTGGAAACCTAAAAGTGAAAAAAACTTGGTGCGTGCTAGAAAATCCATGGCGGTAGAGTGCATTGGCGTTGCACGAAAATCCAACACACTCAGATAGAAGTAAGCAATTAGTAGTGATATCAGAAGCTATTATGTGAAAAACCCAAAAAGGGAAAAAATCACGTGACCAAGCCTAGATGAAATTATCAACTAAGTAATTTTGAGTACATTGGTCTACACTTCTATTGAATTAGGGAAGATAAAGTTACAAAGATAATCATTATAAATGTATAACAGTGATTCATCGATAATAGTCATATTATGACAGCAATGTAGTTCTCGATGATAATAGGCTTCAAGGGTCGTATTACAATGGAGGCAGTATTATTTCGTGAATGTTATAGACGGTGATCGTAACTTTAGTTTGTCGTATAAACTATAATTGAAATACATGATAGTAGTTGATCATGTGAACCACAGATGGTTGTTTCAAAAGCGTCGGCTGACCACAAAGGTCGTGGTAGAAAGCTGCAGCAGTTGTGAGCCATGTATATCGTAGTTGGTCACGTTGGCTATAACGGTACGTTACGATGATGTCTGTAGGTTGCAGAGGCCAGAATCAGGACTTGCACGATCTGTGAACCACATAAGTCGTAGTTGGTCACATAGGTTGTAGTGGTGAGTTGTGACGACATTCGTAGGTCATGAGAGCCAGAACCGAAACTTGCCAGTTGCTGATTTTGAATTTGTTGTCTCCTCATGGGACATTGTTCACATGAGCCGAAAAAA